TTCTTAAAGTCCAAATGAATCCATTCTCCAAAAATACATTTCACAAAACAGTGCTACGCAGTGTATTAATTTGCTTCAGTCTCCACAGGGGAAAGAAAGGCCACCTTGGTTGAGTGCCACTTTGTTCAGGATCTTCACTAAGAATAATTACTGCCGTCACTTCACCAGACGTCTAAGTACAGGTCTATCTTACAATAGAATTTGCATGTGAATAATTTAATTTATTACAATATCATATTGGGGGAAATATACATTGAAACTAGTGTGCAAATTTTGCATAATAATGTTCAGAATATGCCTAATTCCATAATCATAAATCAGTTTCTGGTTTAAATGTAAAAAAAATATTTCCATTTAAAAATAATGCACCAGACATGTATGCACCATGGCGTGTTGCCTACATACTTACTCCAAGGTGCTTCAACATGTCATATTTTTATTTTGTTTTTGACAGTACTTTCTTTTTGTGTGTGTGTTTAAAATTACTTTTTATTATTTTTTTGGTAATTCTATACATGTATACAACATATGTAAAGCATATAGACCCACCATTTTCACCCTCCAACTCCTCTAAGACTCCACATTCCCCCGCCCCAACCTATCTCCATCATTGCCATCTCCTGCTATCCCTCCTCTTCCTTTCAAACCGTGGAGTCCAGTCAATGCTACCAATATACGCATGGTTGTGGGGCAATCCATTAGAGCATGGGCAACCTGGCCAGGACCACATTCCTAAAGAAAACTGACTCTCCTCCTAAAGAAAACTGACTCTCCTCAGAGGTGATCAACAGTTCATAGTTCCTCAGCTAGGAGTGGGGTGGCATGAGTTCCTCCCCATTCATGTTGTAAACTGAGCAGTCTGATCTTATGAGGGTACTGTCCTGAGTGAGGTAAGCCAGACCCAAAAAGAGGAACATGGGATGTATTCACTCATAATTGGTTTCTAGCCATAAATAAAGGACATTGAGCCTATAATTCGTGATCCTAGAGAAGCTAAATAAGAAGAACATATAGGCATCCTCCTGGATATTAACCTTCATCAGGCGATGAAAGGAGACAGAGACAGAGTCCCACATTGGAGCACCGGACTGAAACCCCAAGGTCCAAATCAGGAGCAGAAGGAGAGAGAGCACGAGCAAGGCAAGGACTTCTAAATTTAAGGGGGAAAAAATCAAATAATACTGAAAGGCAGTAACTAAATGAAGCTCAGTGATGCTATTTGGCTGACATGAAAGATACCGTAAGTTCAATTAATGAAAATGGGGAAACATAGCTGTGAAGATTTGTGGTTCTATTCATTTAATCACATACTATATGTGAACCAATCATTTTCTTCAGAAATTTATAAAAAACAAGACTGAAGAGATGACTCGGCCAATAAAGGTTACGCTCACAGGCCAAAAATCAAAAATCAGATACAGTATTTTTATTACAAAGCAATAGGAGCATTCTATCTGAAATATTTAACTAGACTTTGGTTTAAGTTTTTGAAATTTAAAAGACTGACATTTCTTCATTAGAGTCAAATCTTTGTAAAAATATATCAACTATACCATCGAATAAAATATCAGTGGCTATTATTTTCATTTTGCACGGGCTCATTAGAATTACATAAAATAAATGTCAAACCTTGGATTATAGAAGTGAGGAAACACCCTGCTGGCGGTAGTTCTTTTCCACAAGTGTTAAATGCCTTTCACAACTGAACGAAACTAAAGTTAGAAGCAGAGCTGGCACCACCATGGACGCAGACCCTGGGACGAGTACGTGGTTAAAGACTGAGTTAAAGGGGTATTTATTTTGGGGGGTAAAACTTACAAAACACCAACCGTCAGGAAGGGAGCCTAATCGCTGGAGCAGGAGCCGGAACCAAGAGGCTTGCCGCTCAAAATAGACCACGCCCCCGTGGGCTGGTATTTCAGCGGCTATTGGCTGCAGGAGAGGAAGGCGCTTCCGCAGCACTGAGTGTTTCTCTAAATACTAGGGCAATGCTCGCCACTAAGTAGGGTCTCTAAGCTGCACGGAACTGGCTGCAGAGAAAGCAAACTAAGCTGATACTGTATTTAGCTCCACTGGAAGCAGAATGAACCTGGACCCTGCGCGACTCTCGGAAGCAATTCAAGTAGCCTGGATGCAAAAGAAAACTGCTCGAGGTACCTGGGAAAGGAATTAACGGACAGTTTTGCTTCCCCCCGCCCCCAACATTAGTTGTTCGAATTCTCAGAACACTTGCCTTTCAGTTAAGAAAATGAAACGTCAAGAGCCCGAGAGGCGTGGCCAATTCACACCGTTCAGCAGGGAAGAGTTGGACTGATCCCTGCATCTTTCTCCACGGAGTTCACTTTATTACCTCTGCAGGCCGTTTACCTATGCATGGTCCCCCCACTTGTAAGACGATGGTACAAATAGTAGGCTGACACTCTGCACAAGTTGATAAGGATAAAATAGTACAGAGTAGAGAATACCCCAATGTCAGAACACACATAATACTGAGGTACTTTTCAGAAAAGGGAGTCGCTTTCAAAATGGAGGCCAGTCAAGAGAAGGAAAACGGACTCGGCAGACCTGGACTCAGTTCTCAGCCTCAACCTATGCTGTTTGGGCAATAATTAAGCCTCACTAACCCTCAGTTTTTCCATCAGTAAAATGGCAATATTAATTCCCAACATGAAAGTTTCTATGAGAGTCAAACACAAAAGCACCAAAAGCATTGGCCTCAGTGTTTGCACACGGTGAACAGGGAATATGTATATTTACTGTCTGGAATGATTTGCATACTTAATGAGATTTAAGTCGTCTTTACATAATGTGTTAACTATTTTGAACTTTCATATAATGATACCAAAAGCCAAGGAGCCCAAGATTTATAACTGAAATAATTAGGCCCGTTTCACTTCAGAAATCTCCTCTCCAGCACCCACTTCGATTCCAGACCACCCCATAAAAAGTATGATGGACAGACATTCCTCTGGGACACGATCCACATACTCTGTGTAAGTCTTGAGGCCCTGTCAGGCATTAATCTCCTTCAAAAAAAAAAGTCCAACTAGATTGTGTAAATAATCATGAATTTCCAAGTGAGGAATTGAAGTCTCTTTTCCCTTTGAGAGGAAAGCACAGTCACCTGACCATAGTATAAATTAATTTATATGATTAGCTAAAAGACACATTCAAAAATACCAGAAAACATTACAGTGAAGTTGAGCTTGTCCAAGGGAAGACAAACCTTGACTCATGGGTTCTCACCTATGAGTGATTGCATACTAACAGGTCAAGAGCTTGCAGCATTCGCCCTGTTCAGGTCTTTCTAGTCTCTATGGGTAGTTTTCCTAAGACTCTTAAAATTATCATATAGCATCCTAACATGGATATTCTCCATCTTCTTCCCCTGAGTGACATCCCAGGAAGCAAGTTATCCTATTCTTAATTTCCCCTAAAATCTTCAGTAATAAGCTTCTCACAGCTACCTAGTGAAGGTTCGCCATTGGATCCTGCTCAGTGGGGACCTGTCAGTGTACCAAGGGGGTATGTTTCTCAGATGTCTGGAGGAGAGAGCAATGAGGAAGGGTAATGGGCAGCTGGGACACATGCCTGCTTTACAGTGTTGTTTAGAACGTAGAGGTACAAAGACTCGTGGTTCTAAGCTCCTCCAAATTTCCTACCATGATCTCAGAAGCCGACTCAAATGCTGACAGGACTCTGGTTTACAGAGATCTTCATCTCCGTTGAGTTTGTGAAAGCCTTTGTGAAATGTGTTTATGGGAAATATGAGGTGGAAAATCTTAAGTTACTTCTGAACAAATCCCTTCATCCCAAGAGAATTAGCTGTGTACACATTACCGGTTCTCCTTTGTCCCCTTTAGGTCCAAGGGAACCCAGAGTAGGTGAGCCTGCTTCCTCCTGAGGGGAATAAAAGATGAATGCCTGTGTCAAAATCATTCTGTTTCATTGTGCTAAAGCCAAATCTTCCTGTCTGTTTGTCTATGTATCTGTCTGTCTGTCTGTCTATCTATCTGTCTATCTTTTATCTATCATCTATCTATTGATCATCTATCTATTATCTCTCTATTATCATCTATATATTGTCTACCTACCTGTCAACCACCTATCACTTATTGTATTTACCTTCCATTATTTATTTCTCCAATGGCCTTTTTTTAGAACACACCTAATCAGGTCTATGAACACAAAAAGGATGCTTATGATGGTCCATGGGCCCAGCATCATGGATTAAAGAGCCATATAGGTTTAGATGAAGCTAATAAATTGAATATGCCCAACAGAGACAATGAATTAATAGAAGAAAGGCAGGTAGTTGGATATGTGCAGATGCTGCACAAATATAATCATCAGACAGAAAAGGAGAACATACTATATAGAGTGTTTTTCTATGTCTTTGTTGAAGATCAGGCACTTTTCCTCCAGCACCAAATTCCCAAACTACAGCCCATTCCTAGCACATGCTATGTACTCAGGACTCCTGGTGTTTTTACATACTTCATACTTCCTTGCCATACAGTGTTTTCCTCTTCATTTTTTTCTGTTAATTGTAACTTTCACACATTGAAAGGGAATTAAAAAACCTCCACAGCCAAACATGAGGAAACCCCGTGGAAGAGGGGGAGAAAGGATTGTTGAGCCAGAAGCATCAAGGACATCACAGAAACCCCACAGAATCAACTAACTTGACCTCATAGGAACTCATAGAGACTGATCCAACAACCAGGGAGCCCACATGGGTCTGACCTAGGCCCTCTGCATATATGTGACAGTTGTGTAGCCTCATCTACTTGTGGGACTCCTGACATTGGGAGCAGGGTCTGTCTCTGACTCTTTTGCTGGCTTTTGAGATCCTTTCCACATACTTGGTTGCCTTGTCCAACCTTAATATGAGGGGAGGTGCCTAGTGTTACTGCAACTTGATATGCCTTGTTTGGTTTATATCCACAAGGGTCCTGCCCTTTTCTGAATAGAAGTGGATGGGGGAAACAGAGGGGACATGGGGCTGGGACTGGAAGGAGAAAAGGGAGAAACACTGTGGTCAGGATGTAAAAAAAAATGATGATAATAATAATATTTCAAAAAAGGAAAGCAAAATCCAATAAATGAATCTTAGATTTCTTTTTCTGATGCTCTTTGGTGGCTGTATTGTTTTTGATATTTGATTTCACCAGCACTGAAGAAAAGGTACCTTCTGAAGACCACAGGCCTCAGTCAAGGAGTCCAGACCACTGAGAGGAGTGACCTTTTGTTGCGTACATATGAAGGCTAGCATACCTTGATTGGAATGCACTGGCATGGGTCTTTAAGTTCCTGCTTTCCCGGTAGATATAAAGACATTTCACCGGTGTGAGTGGTCACCCATGATGGAGTGGTACTTCCAACGTTGTCTTGCTCAGGACACTAAAATCCCCAAAGAGAATGAAGAGAATGATGTCAGTTCTAGATGCTCGTCCTATAGAACCAGAGATAGTTACAGCTGTCCTTCCTTCTTATTAACCAAGCATTGTCATCCATGTTTGAAAAATTATCACACTTTTACATTATCACAAACTCTCCAGTGTATTTCCCTACACTGACAACATACGAAGAATATATGAAAATTGATTAGTTAAGTATAGAAATATTGTGCATTTAAAATATTATATACAAGACTTTACACAAGCAAAATGTGAAAACTATCTGGCAAACAAAAGTTTAAAATCACATACATTTAGTTGATAAAATATAATTACCACAAGAAGGTGGCCATAACTGTACATAAAGCTGGAAGTTACTTCTTTTCACATGCTAAGGTCATAATTAGTTAATAATAATGTCCTTTTCCACTGTCCTTTAAAGTTTTAAAATAGAAGATACCAAATCTTGTGAGTTGAAAGCATGCTGAACAACATAAAGTAAAGTTTGGTTATAAAGAGAGAAAATCTTCCTCCCATCTCAATTTAGTTAAGGAGGCAAAAGAGAGAGCAATTAAGAGTCGAGACTGCTTTAGCAGAGAAGCCAAGGGCAGTTCTCACCACCTTCAACTGGGGACTTAGCCCCAGCTGTTATTCTCACCTCTGATGCTCTCTCCTATTCTTCTGCACCTGCACCCAGAGCACATATCTACATGCCTACATGCACATGCATGCACACGCCTCACATCTACATACGTAACTAAAAGAAATACTTCATAATATAGAGGAAAATTGATTAGCAAGGTGATTCTTCTGAGGAGAATGGCTCTTGTGGACACCTGACACCACACTGGTCCTAGGCTTAACTCTTTATTTGCAGCTTCGGTAAAGTGAAAACAGCAGGTGGAAGAACATGCCAGCTGCTCTGTGTACTACAGATTACACATGAGGGGAAACACGTTTTCAGGTTATGAATATGAGTGATTCTTGGGGGATTTCTTCTGTGGTGTGAGACCATGGTGGATATCTACTTTTGTCCTTGTATTTGATATTTATTTACTTCTTGTATTTACTTTCTAAAATAAGAATTTATAAATTGTTTTCTAATAGGTAGAACTCTGATAGTTTTGCTAACAATAAAACCTGTAACATACAGCACCCGAGACACTGGGATCAGATTCCTATGTTTAGCCCTAGTGATTTCATGCTCTTTGCTTCCAGATTCGGTGATCACTGGATATCCTAACACATTTTTAAAACCAAGATCTTAAAAATTATACTCAGATGAACAATAGCTCTACACAGACTGTTTATTCTTCCCAGATAACTCATTGTTTTCTAAGCAGTTTTTCCCTTACATCATCAGTCATGTGGAGTTTGCTCGAGTGGTGGGTTTTGAACTCGGATCACATGGTTCTACAGTAAGTGTCCTTAACCACTGAGCCATTTCTCTGGACCCCCTTTAAAACATTTTTCAAAAATAAAAAGCAAAGAAGACAGTTGCGATCAAAAGTTCGTCAAGTGTGTCTAAATGACTTTTGTATGATTGTCTTATTTAAGTGTTCGTGAAATGTGTCAGGTTGTTATTTATTATTAACTACAGAGTGGATGGTGACGTCCTCACCACAAATAATTATCAATGTGAGAACTACTGTGTTTGGTTGTTTTTGTATACTTGGTATGAATTCCTTACTTATTTTCAACTATGAAACCAATTTCCAAATAATCCTTATAAACATTATTTATTTTTTATTTAATTTTAAGGTTAGCAGTGTGAAAGTAACAAGAACTGTTAACAATTGTGACGTCAAGTCTTACTTTAGCTACTAAAAGTTACTTTATCCAATTCTTCACCTATACTATATAAACCATTTTCATAGTACCATCGTTTACATAAGGCAATGACTACTGGCCAAGAATATTACATTTACAGATATTAAACCATCACTGTATTACTTTTAAATGACAGAAGATGGTTATTTTAAGAACCCGAATAAAATACAATCATAACTACTTCAAAGAAACTTTTGGATTTCATGATTAAAGGTATAGGCTCAGGCAGCCTTGGTATTTCAAGTCTGTAGATTGGCATTCAAGTTATCTTTTCAGATATTTATGGAAAGATATTTGGCAGACTTTCACTTTGCTTGGAATGGGATGCATAAACTGAGTTTGAGATGGGCTTCGTACAGCCAAGTTCTATAAGCGAGACAAAATATTTGAAAGCCTGAGTTGTTTGGCTACATTTTCACCCTGCTACTCAAAGTGCATGAGAGAAGTTATGTGAGTTCTTGAGTTAAAAATCCCTGGTTACAATTTCATGTAGACTTCTTAGCAAGTGTAGAAATTTGGGGAAATTTAAGATTCAAAGAAATAGAACTTCGTCAAATCTTGGATTTTTGTTTTCTGTATGTACTTTCGGTGAGTTTTTTAGAATTATTCCCTTCTCACAACTTCGTAGTGGACAAATCAGCAAACGAAGAGGTTCTGTTGATTTTCAGCAGAAATGACCCCCAAGGGCTCGAATAGTTCAACACTTGGTACCTGGACGTGGTACTGTTTGAGGGCTGCCGTTGCCTCGGAGGAAGGGAGTCACTGCCAGGACTTTGAGACTTCCTAGCCTTGTCCTACTTCCAGTTCATTCTCCCTGCCTTGTGTTTAGGCTGAAGAGGTGACCCCTCAGCTTCCTGCCAGGCCTACCTTCCCCACCACCATTATGGACTCTTCCTTTGGAATCATTAGCTAAAAAAGTCTCCCATGAGTGACCTTTGGTCATAATATTTTATCAGACAGTATAAAACAAACTAATACATACTTCTACAATCTTTTGCTAACAATGTGCTAGATATAAAATAATTTGAAAGTAACTCCTCTATCTCTGTCTAATTTGTACTTCAGTCAATTAAAAACAATTATTATATTCATAATATGCAATGGTATGTGGGACTAGTGCAGTGAGACACAGGAAGCACTGGCTTTTTTCTTGGAAGGAAGAACATGGATGTAGGAGCAAGGTTATATAGGGAAGTCAAGACTATTTACCATGGGAGACCACTCTACTGGGCAGATATTTTGTTGCCAACAGGGAATCACTTAGGATGTTGAGAAAAAGATGACCAGACAGGGACTCTGTTCATGTCAGTATATTTTTCTTTAGTTCATTGTCTACTAGATCCATGATTAAAAGCAAATATCTACTGTAGGAAAACAATAAACATATAATCCGGTGATTTAGAGACTCATTCTGGTAATACCGCCAAGAAAAAGAAGGTGCGTTAGAAAGGCAGTTGGCAGGATGCTGTGAAAGCCAGGCATGAGGTAAAAGCAGATTTGGCAATGGCAGGGAAAAGAAAAAAAGATAAAATGTATCACAAAGCAAAATGATACAAGACAGACAGGCTGACTTAACTTAAAGTGTGAGTCCAATTAATGCAGAAAAGACCTGACTTTAATGGGGGTAGCACCTCCAGTCAGCTGGGGTCTCAGATGAAACAAGGAGTGAAAGGTTTAGGGGGAAGATGTTACTCGTCTTGGAGCTATGCTAAGTCCAGAGTGAAAACAAATCTCCATCAAATTGCAGTAACAACCCAGTGGTTAAAGTTTGGGCAGGTACTTGGAATGGCTCCCTATTGGAAATAAGGGCTCATCCATCCAGTCTCAGGTGAGATACTTCAGACTGTCCCACACACAGAATCTGCAGACCTTAAGTTAAAAGATAACTTAAGATTTGTTCGTGTTTTACCCGGTAAGAAACTTAGCCTACCTTAGTAGCTGCTAGGTCACAGCATGATTCCTTAGCTAGGAAGTCTGCATTGCAGGAGATTATGAGCCGGTGAAGTTCAATCTGTAAAAAGTAAGTAGTAATTTGCATCATTGGTGTTGATAATCAAATCTAGGCATTAGGAGCTATAGCAATTCAAATAGAAGGAAAAGAAAGTTAATGTAAGTGATGGATACATAACATATTTATGGCGTTCAATTTTAAGTTATGATTCATTACTTTAAGGATCATTTGAGAAGCCATCAGTTACACAGGAAGATCTTCAGACAGGAAATGAGTTAATTGTCTCAAGCAATAAAAATGAAATGTTGAATTAAGGAGGCAATAGAGACAAACATTTAATTAGAGATATATTGCTATGTGCTACCATATACTACTGTACAAAATGACATTTAAAAGTAAAACTTTGCAGGAAGGTAGACAAAGGTGTTGACATGGACTGGAAAAGGCTTTCTCTTTAGGTCCAAACGTCCTATTTGAGGTATGAAGTAAATGTGTCATTCCTAATAAAGTAAACAGAAGATATTTAGTTTTCACCTATGCTCAGTGAAATCTGCATAAAGCCTATTGATTTTTTATTAGTGCTATCCTCAGCAAGACTCAAAAGCTGAAACCTGTAGCACCTGCCTGAACTACTCAAATTGGTGACTTTGATGCAAGAAGAGGGTTATCTCGAGGCTAACTTGAGTTATATGTGGTTTTCCAGAACAGTCTGGACCACCTGAACGATCCTGAGTCAATAGCACTAAACGAAAAGACTCACAATCTTTTTACTGAAGCTTCTTCTACTTGCAGAAGAGTCACTTTTTTGGCATTTGGGCAGCTGGTGGTACTAGAGGAAGGAGCACTGGTTCTGCTCATGGATCTGGCTCCTGACAGGCCACCTGTGCTTCGGTGGGTGGCTTTACACCCATGCATGTACTGGAAGCCTCAGATAGATACAGTGGGTTAGAAACAAGGCCATGAAAGGGAAGGCGGATGTGGCAGACTGGAAAAATGAATATGGAGGAAGATGGTGGACATGAACAAAATACTTTGAATGAAATTCTCTAAGAAAAAATTAAAAATTATATGCTGAAGTTTTAGTGACACTGTTATTATTAAGGATACAATATGCAATGGACCAAAAGACAATAAATTTCAAATTCGCCTTCTAGAAATTAAGATTACACTTTGGTAGTTGAGTGAGATATCTCCGCAGTTAAGGGCACTTGCTGAGATTTAGAGGACACAGGTTGTTTCCAACACCCACATGGCAGATTTTAGCCATCTTTAACTGCAGTTCCAGGGGATTTGATGCCTGCTTCTGGCTGTCATAGGCACCAGGCATGGACATGGTGCATACAAAGTACTTGCAAGCAAAACACTTATACACATACTATAAATAAATCTAATGAGCTCTCCATTTGAAATAAACATGTTTTCATATGACTGGATGGGCAGTTACATGCATATCTGTTAATTATTAGTGTCTTTTAACAACATAATTTTGAACAATAAAAGAAAATAAAAGTGCTTGTATCCAGTTAAAATACGTAGGATATATCTTAAAAAAAAATACATGTGGAAGCTGATTTTGTTCTCCAATACCGTTGCAAGACGTCCCAGTCTGTAGATTATAAAGATGAGTTACAATGGTGATGGATCTCCTGATGGTCTCTGCTTCCTCCTTCATGGAAGCTTTGTCAAAGACACACTTAGTATACTGTACAGTGATAAATGATATGTTAATACTTACAGCCACCATTTATTGACATATTTTAGTTCTACTAAAAGTTTAGAGGTTTTGGAGAGCAAAGAACAGTAAGGATTTTTTTTTTGTTGCTGTTGTTTGGTTGATTGCTAGGTTGGTTTTTCTTTGTTGTTGTTTTAGGTTGTGTGTGTGTGTGTGTGTGTGTGTGTGTGTGTGTTTCTTTCATTTTCTAATCTGTAGAGACCAGATTATGAATAAGTAACCATGGTGCAAATCCAACACTATTACAACAATCAACTCCACCAAATCTGTTTTGTAAGTGAAGACACTGACAAATTAGCAGATGCAAACTGAGATTGTGACTCAAGCTAGTGGGCAATCTCTGTGGCCCTGTCACGCCCCCAGGACAGGCTGTTCTGCTCTGCCTATTCCTCATCTTCCTGACCACAGAGCCCGACAGTCTTGTCTTTCTGATCTGCTCACGCACAGTCTCTAGGAGAAAAATGCTTTATAAATCATGTTTCCTGGCTGGGTGGTGATGGCACATGTCTTTACTCCCAGCGCTCTGGAGGTAGAGGCAGGCAGATCTCTGTGAGTTTGAGGCCAACCTCGTCTACAGAGAGAGCTCCAGGACAGACTCCAAAGCGACACAGAGAAACCCTGTCTTGAAAAACAAACAAAAGATTCATATTTCCTAAATATGTATTTGTATCTATACATTTTTCCTTCCAAACAGATCTTTAGAAATAACAATCTCCCAAACTTTATTTCTGAAATGCATTTCCACGGTCAGCACTTTGTGTTTACACCTCTGGCATTTATTCCTGGTCATCTGCATTCAGATTTCTGGAGACTTTCTTATCATTTTACCCATAAGAAAATATTTAGCTATTAAATGTAGGCAGATCTCGCCCTTTAAAGATCACAGCCCTTATTTTGCAAGAAAATTGACAGTAAATCTATATCACCTTAGCTTCAAAATTTAATTTTTAAAGGGCCTTACATCTGAGTTTTCCTAGCTGTCTGCTCATCCAAATGAGCCACTGTTAGATTTAATGACTGTTTTTTTCTGTGCAAAGGAACTCTAAAAGGACATTATAAGTTGTAGAAAATGCAGTAAGTAAAATTGCTTAAATGAATTGCCTATTGTTGTTGAATGAAAACATCAGATAGTCTGGAACCATTTAAAGTTTGTCTTTTTCCCATCTTTTTACTTAAAACACTAAAGTTTAGCCAAGTTTATACTTTCTTTGTCTCCTATCTTCAATTTTTTGCTCAAAGTTACTCCCAATCATCTAGTGTTTAAAGGCATGATACATTTATTTTAAATTTGCTGACTAGAAAATGAGGTTGAAAATAAAATATAGAATATAATTATTTGTGAAAATAGGGTTGGGAATAAATATTCTTCAGATATTTAATGACATTATAAACATTGATGAGAGGGAGGTTTTTGTGTGTGTAATCATTAAAGGAGGAAATGGGTTCCTCCCTCCCTTCCTTCCTTCCTTCCTTCCTTCCTTCCTTCCTTCCTTCCTTCCTTCCTTTCTTCCCTTCTCCCTCTGTCCTTCCTGTTTCCTTTTCCTTTCTCTTTCTTTCTTATACTGGATCTTCTGTAGCCATGCTGACATTATACTCACAATGTGACTAAGAATGATGCTGAACTGAGCTTTCCATCCCCTTGCCTATACCTTTGTAGTCTGTGGTTGGGGACAAACCATGAACCACTATGCCTGGTTTATGTGGTACTGGAGTTCGAATCTCAGGTGCCATGCAGGCTATTTAAGCTGGCTACTTATGGAGTCACATCCACGGTCCCAGGAAGCCACTCTTAATGACATATTTTGCTTTAACTTCGGGATGATGGAAGTACCGTGTGTGTATCACTATTACACTTACGTCCACAGGCTTGCCATCTGAAGCTCGTGTGGCAATAACTGTCTTCCCATGAAAATCCACAGAGTCCTTCTCTTCCGTGTGCCGACTTGCAATTAGATTACAATCCATATAGAGAGAAAGGACTCGGGCTTGCACACCAATGCCAAGTTTATGCCACTGACGATCGAAGAGAGGGCGGAGTTCTCGATTCTTAAAAACGTAGTTCAACAGATCCCCCTCAGCACCACGGAACATAAATTCTATCACCTTCTTTGTGCCATCAATCACTATAGAAATCTGAAAAAACAAGAAAGATAAGCAGAGTATCTTTACATGGCTTGAGACTCAATGCTCAAAATTAGTAAAGCTCTCAAATAAAAGCTCCATGTGTACAACAGTATAACTCAAGAATTGGATGAGCAGGAGACAGTAGCTGTGCCTGCCACACTGGTGGATACGAAAAAGCAAGTGTTTTGCTGCAAGTATGTTAGCGTGAAGCATCCTGTACAATCTGCTCCTTCACAAAAGAACATAAAACGGTATGCATGCATATACAAATGCAAATGATTATTTCACATTTACAAATGCAATAATAACTATATACTTGTGTTATGATTTCATAAAAGTGTCATTTTATGAAGTATAAAGGTTATTGATATTATCACATACCTAAACATGCTCATCTATGTTATTGTTCTATGTGAGTATGCAGACTATACGGTCTCTAATTTAAAAGAAAAACAATGTATGCATTTCTTTTTACATGACAATGACATGGTCCTTTTAAGCCCTTAATCATTTTCATGGCAAAGATAGATATTTTATAGATGACATACATTTCAGTTCAAATTATCTTCCCATCATAAAATCGGGAATTATATTAATAGTAAGAAGATCAGCCAGAGCTAAAGGCATTCAATCGTTATGTACAGAAGTGGACACAAATGTGGGATGCTAATAAGTAGTTTTGCTGTCTGTAGGGTGGAGCCAAAGTGGTGTCTCCTGGGTTCTCCACTCTTCTTTCTTGTTCAGACATCTCCCATCACACTTCCTTCAGTATAATTGTACTGTATAAGTTCTCATAAATGTCCTCCCATTATATAGACTTTCTGCTCCATAAGAACATGACTTATGCTTTTAAAAATCTCTTATTTTCCTTTGATGTGTGTGTGCCTGTGTGTGTAAGTATGATGCACATATGTTCACAAGAATGTAAAAACCAGAGCTGACATTAGGTGTCTTTAATCAAGTGCTCTCCACTTTCTGTATTGAGGCCAGGCCTCTTTCTTGAGCCCAGAACTCATTGATTTGACTAGTCTTGCTAGCTAAACTGCTCTGGGAATCCCATCTCCCACCTTGTGAATGTTGAACTTACAGGTGAACCCCACCTTCACCTGGCATTTATGTGGGTGCTGGGTTCTGAACTCCACCCCTCAGTTTTGCATGACAAATGCTTTCCCCTAGACCCTGAGGTATCTCCGTAGACCTAAATTTCTTATTCTCATCACTTCTTGGCATAAGGCATGTGGCTCTTATTTGTGTTTACTGATGAAACAAACAGTTAAGTATCAGGATAATATGTGATATTAGTGATGAGAGGAAGTGAAGGTCATTAATGGGGTGAAGTCAGTCAATTAGCCCCCGTAGAAAGAAAGTAATTTCACTGTCTTCAGATAAATTATGATAAAATAAACCAGGGCTGGAGGTATGACTCAGTGGTTCAGAGCGCTGACTGCTTTGCAGAAGACCTGGATTCAAGTCTTAGTACCCACTTGGTGGCACAAATTGTTTATATCTCCAGTTTCTGGATATCCTGAACTCTCTTATAGCCTCTCTGGTCATCAGATAAGGACATGGTGTATACACACACACACACACACACATGCACACATACATACATACATACATGTAAATATTTATGTACATAAAATAAAAATAAATCTTTAAGATAAAACAAATCTCAAACCTCTGGTGTACTAGATTCTCATCAAGGCTATCCTATTTATAATGCTTCCATTTCTCTGTTGATGAGTCCTCTAACCAACACAGTATTTGAGTACTAACTACGTCTGTTCCCAGATTTGGGTGCACAGCACATCTGACCTAATGAAACAAATTAACATCTTACCTGTGGCATATTCTGCTGGTTTAAAATCCGCCATAAAAACCATCGCTCCTTCTTGGTGCTTCTTCGTACTCGAAACATGACCGCTACAGAATACTCCTCAGGAAGGCCTTTGGGAAATATCTTACTATGGGAAGAAAGCAAATAACTATTCAGGGATGACTGAAGGTTGCCAGGGAAGAAATCCAGGTATGAACCCTCAGAAATGTGATCTCTCAGTCATAGAAACTCTCAATTAGTTTATAACTTATTAATCATTTTTTGACTATTAGAAATATGGATACAGTCATGTCAGCATTTTCTATGTAATTATTATTGTAATTCCCTCCCTTTTTGTAACCATCTAATATGGTTTTGATAAAGGTTATAATATGTAAACGAAAGGGTATACTACAGTAAGTAATATGTTGTTCTCTTATTGAGGGATGTCTAACAGACAAGTTCAGAGTTCACTGTATTCAGATGAACATCAGTGGTTTATCAAAATGAAAGTTGTCTTCCCTGGTGGTTTTTGGTAGAGAAAAGTAGAGAATTCAACCAGCGATGACCAATGAAAAGCACCAAACCACTTTCCAGAGCCAAATGGCACCAGAAAATTGTTATGGTCACTGTTTAGTGGTCTTCTCCAGTTTCATTGGCTAAGCCTTCTGAATTCTAGAGAAACTGTCATCCATGAGAAGTATGTTCAACAAACTGATGACAGGTGTCAAAATCAGCAACATTCGCAGCCACCATAGCTCATAAGAAAGACACAATTCTAGGCCATGCTTGATGGCACACTGCACAGTCAACATCTCATTCGTTCAACGAACTGCACTGTCAAGTTTTGCTTCATCCGTGATATTCACCTGACCGCTTGCCAACCAACTACTATTTCTTCAAGCATTTCAGCAACTTTTGCAAGAAAGACACTTCCACAATCAACAGGATGAAGAAGTGCTTTCTAAGAGTCAATCAAATCCTGAAGCACGTATTCCCATGCCAAGAAACAAGCAAACTAATTTCTCATTGAAAAAAAAAATGTGCTGACTACAAGGGTTCTTCTTTTACTTAACAAGGCTATGTTTCAGCCTAGTCATAATGATTTAAAATTCATGNTCAATTAGTTTATAACTTATTAATCATTTTTTGACTATTAGAAATATGGATACAGTCATGTCAGCATTTTCTATGTAATTATTATTGTAATTCCCTCCCTTTTTGTAACCATCTAATATGGTTTTGATAAAGGTTATAATATGTAAACGAAAGGGTATACTACAGTAAGTAATATGTTGTTCTCTTATTGAGGGATGTCTAACAGACAAGTTCAGAGTTCACTGTATTCAGATGAACATCAGTGGTTTATCAAAATGAAAGTTGTCTTCCCTGGTGGTTTTTGGTAGAGAAAAGTAGAGAATTCAACCAGCGATGACCAATGAAAAGCACCAAACCACTTTCCAGAGCCAAATGGCACCAGAAAATTGTTATGGTCACTGTTTAGTGGTCTTCTCCAGTTTCATTGGCTAAGCCTTCTGAATTCTAGAGAAACTGTCATCCATGAGAAGTATGTTCAACAAACTGATGACAGGTGTCAAAATCAGCAACATTCGCAGCCACCATAGCTCATAAGAAAGACACAATTCTAGGCCATGCTTGATGGCACACTGCACAGTCAACATCTCATTCGTTCAACGAACTGCACTGTCAAGTTTGCTTCATCCGTGATATTCACCTGACCGCTTGCCAACCAACTACTATTTCTTCAAGCATTTCAGCATCTTTTGCAAGAAAGACACTTCCACAATCAACAGGATGAAGAAGTGCTTTCTAAGAGTCAATCAAATCCTGAAGCACGTATTCCCATGCCAAGAAACAAGCAAACTAATTTCTCATTGACAAAAAAATGTGCTGACTACAAGGGTTCTTCTTTTACTTAACAAGGCTATGTTTCAGCCTAGTCATAATGATTTAAAATTCATGGAAAACTGCATTTCTTTGTTTTCTAATATTGGTTGTTAGCTTGATATATCTGGGAAAATGGAACATCAGATAAGGATGAGGAATTGCTTCCATCCCATTAGAGACTAGTGCGTACTTCTGTGAAACATTGTCTTAATTACTAATTTAAATTGGAAGGTCTGGGCAACCATGTACAGTGCCATCCTTCAGTGGCTTGATTTGGACTGCAAAATAAAAAGTAGCTGAGTGTGAGCCTAAGAGCAAGCCAGTGTGCAGCTTTTCTCCATGGTTAGTGCTGTAACCTCTAGCCTTGAGTCCCTTCCTTGGTTTCCCTGATTTCAGACAGGAACCTGAAAACTGAAATAAACCCATTCTTCCCCAGATAACTTCTGGTTTATCATAGCACTAGAAAGCAGTTAAGCACAGCTGAATTTACAGTGTGGTCCTTTCTGGATCCAGATATTTGATTCACTGTACTCATTTGTGATACTGGAAGGCAGCAGGAGGCCACAGGGCTCCATCAGTCACATGATGATGAGAGTAGAAGCCTGGTCTGCAGTGCACTGTGCTGCTAACCTATGCTGTGAGGGAGACAGGTGAATGACATATATTTCTCTACTTTAAATATATTCAAATTAATAAAAACATATTCATTTGCTTATATGCTGCTATCTAGGGCTAGAGAGAAGGTTCAGCACTTAGAAGCACTTTTTGCTCTTGCAGAGGACTTGGGTTTGATCCCCAGCACATGCAAAGAACCTCATAATTGTCTGTAACTCCACTTCCGGGAGATCGAGTAACTGCTTTTGGTCTCTATGAGCACTGTATGCACATAGTGCACATACATACATGCCGTCAAACACTCATAGAAATAAAATTTAAAAATGATAAAGAAATCTTAAAAATAGATGAATTAACCTACGTATATTCTAGATTTATTTTGTTTGTTGAGAGTTTAGCAAAAGAAGCAACAGACCTTACCACAACTACATTATTATATCCCTTTAATTAATCAATTAGGAAACAACTTTTTTTTTTATCAATTTCCTGAAAAATAAATCCCTGTAATGGGATATTGTTTCTTCTGGAATTTTTTCCAGTATCAGATAAAATTTTTACTAAATTACTATTGACAATTACTGTGTTGTTTGGAGTAGTATTGCTGACTTAAACATAACAACAACAAAGCAGGCACAGATACCTGCCACTTCTCTTTGGGAATATTTAAAACTGAAAGGTGGGCACATGTAGGGTTGAAGAGATAACAGCAAACACACTTCCAAATGGAAGCTTTGAGTTAGGTGCAACAAAACTACTGTTGAAGGCCCACATTAATCCCTTATCACGTGTAATAATAGCTGATATTCTATTTTGCTTTCAATGTCTCTGTTGGCATGATGAGTCAAGGGGCATGCCTCATTGCCCAGCATTAGTTGGGAGTTTTTACCAAGGGCTCTTCAAATGCTTAAGTGTCGTGGTTATTTATCCAGATATATTTCTTTTTACCCAAAAAGAATACTTTTGTTTTATACCTAATAAATGATGTTCAGCTGGCTACAACCATTTTACAAGTATGTGTGTGTGTGGGGGGGGTAATGTAAGAGTCTCATGGTTCATTATAGAATTTTGCTTTTGACTCACTTTTGGTGTCCCGACTCATTCTTGTCTTTACTCTCTTGTTGAAGTCAGTCTGACAGATTTGTAGCTCAAATTTTTTTAGCTGATAAAACCCTCACCTCCTTTGTGGTTGGGTCGTGACGGTGGTAAGTTGGCAACATGGAGCTCCCAACTCACATGCCCATCAGACACACATACACAGACAAACATGGCAGTATTTGCACAAACCTATACATGTACACCTACCTACACTTACTCCCTCACTGGTTTCTGCAGAGGCTGATTCCTCTTAACCATGCAAGCTTCAGCAATCTGGTGGGGTAGATTCACTTCTTACCAGTATTGCCCACCTACAACACTGAAGGTCCAGCTCCTTGCCCTTGTTCAGTCAGGTACATAGTCCCCAATTGCCTTCTCTTTTCTAGAATGAACTATAATTTTTTGTAATTGTTTAATGTTTAATATCCCAGCCTACAGATGTATTTGCATATTCAAGAGTAAACCTCTTTTTCAATCTTTAATGCATCATTTTCAAATGGTCTCATAATCTTGCTTTGCAAATTATCTCTTCTCTTGCTATAAATCAGACTTCCTCTGACCTGGCTGTACAATTGGCAGCTTCTAGCTCACTCATCAAACTAATGAACAGGACATATTTGCCATCCGTTCATTCCTTACCCACTGCCTCCTGAATTCTAGCATTATTTCAATCAGCTAGCCCACTGCCCTCTGCTCAGCCACCTTTCCCACTGTTTGTGCAGGTTTGAAGACTACTGGCGCATATTTTTGTTGTTGTTGTTCATTCAAACCATGACTTAAACCACAGTGGCTACAGATCCCTGCAAGGAAGACTGAAATGTAAGTTCTCTAGGTGCTTACGTCTGACCCACTCCCCTATTTGTCCTTAGCAGCTACAGCAGTGTCTGCTCAAAGTAGATAATACGTGCAAGCAAACAAATAACTGAGCTGAACTTGGACTGTTTTTCAGAAAAGAACATGACTGACCCTCAATATACTTCCCCCATTTGGATAGAACTTTGAATACATAATATTTCAAAAATTCACAAATTCCCCTTATGCCTGTGTATGAAAACCAGAGCAGTGAGTTAACCACAGTAAAGTGACACTGGTCCTTATGTAGAGGACACACATGAGGACTGTAGGCAACAGCCCAGTCCATCTACAGGGACAGCTGTTAAATAGTACCAGCCAGCTGGTACCATATGGGAACATAGATTCAGTGTTGCCAGATCATCCATTTTTCCACAGAAGCCAAAAGCCGAAAGTCTAGATTTATACCTAAAAAGTTTAGAGTTTTAAATGTTGGCAATTAATCACATTTTTTTTTCAAAAAAAAAAAAAAATACTGTTCAGACCAACAATGGACAAGCTGAACAAAGCCAGGGAGCAGCAGTTAGTAAACTTGGCATTACACAGTTGTCAGCTGAATTCTCATCTAGTATAGAACACTATAAAACTTTGAAAGGCAGCAAAAGGAAGGTCCTAGCCCACATTTGCTGCTTCTTCAAACCAGTTGAGAGTGGAGAGTGTTTAGGGGACATAAAGAAG